CGCTGTAACCAGCCCTGCCCCCAGCCCCGCCCAGCCACCTCGCACCTCACACCCGGCAGCCACAGCCGGCGCCCCCGCCCGGTCCCGCACGGAGCCCCGGCGGCGGCCAGCCGCTGGCCTCGGGCTGCGCTTACGCACACTCAGGACGGAAAAAAATGGCTCAAAAAGTGGAGAAAATTACCCGAGCTCGGGACCTTTTCTGGTCCCGAGTCTGTCGCCACAGCCGTCCCCAAGAGAACTACTGGCCGCTTCCTCTCACCCTGACCGTCAGGGTGACTAGAACGGCCGTTGGACGGTCCTCAAATGATCACAACGGTCGTTTTGCCGGAAACCACGCCTGGCTTCGCGACATGTGAACATCGAGAACCTTCGCCGCACGTGAACGTCGTGATCCTTCGCGTTGCGCTGCCCAGGGGCTGCGCAGCTCACGGGTCTTCTCGCGCGAGGCTCGGGGCAGCATGGTCGTGCCGACCAATGAGCGGCCGCCCGTGGACATGCGCCCCTCTCGTTCTGTCAATCTTGTGCGCCTCCGAATGGCCTTAAGTCTGGGAGCATTGCTAGAGACAGCGGCGGGGAGGGGGCTTGTCGCCCACCTAGAGGGAGCGACGCTGGCCTCCTTACTGTCATAACTGGGCATCAGACCCTGGGTTTGTGTTAGCTAACACCTGCCAAAACAGGCTCTAGAGCAGCAGCGCACAAACCCCTCCCGAAGGAAACAGGTGACTGCAGCCGCGGCTCCTGGCGCGTTCACAATTCTTCTAGTGGCTACAGCTGTTCTAGGGGACAGCTCATGAGGGTCAGGCAACTGGAGCATGACCTCCCACTTTTGTTGTTTGATCATTTGAAGCTTATTGGTATTTATGTGCAACTCTGCCCCTGGTCCCTCGCCCTGTGGTTGAGATGTCCATGTTGACTGGGCTCCAGGGGTGCATATCAGTGCTTAAATTTGAATGCACAGAGGTGCCTGGCCTTAGCAGTTGCCTGTGCTTGGTCTGATATGAACCTGAGGAAAGTTATTCCCAGTCTGCAACAAGCACAAGTTGGAGTGGAGAACTGACACAGATTCTGGAGCCATGTTTGCTGGTTTTGAACCCTAGCGCCAACACTTAGTTGCTCAATGGGTTTGGGACAGCCGAGGAACCACCATGCTGTTTGCCTATCTGTGAAATGGGCACAACAGCGACAATACATGAGATAGCATACGAAAACACTTAGAACTAGCACAGAAGTCTGCTTTATGTAATGTGCTTACAGGCTATGTGACTTAGTGACATATTGTCTTACATATATCAAAGGCTGCTCATTTTGGGAAGGAGGCACAGTCTGAAGACTTAATCAAAGTCAAAGCAGACAGATGTTTCAAAGTAAAGCTGTAAATCTTTTCCTGGCCCAGAAAGGATCTACAACAAAAATAGCTTCAATATTCGAATGCATTTTTTCCCTATCAAATACAAAAGGAAATTGGTGCCCATTATAGATACTATATTTTTGTTTCAACTTTTCCCATAAAGATTCCCCTTTTGTGTCCAGTTGCCTTAAAAATCTATGTAGTTGGGTGTGGTGGCACACCCCTGTCATCCCAGCACTCAGGAGGTTAAGGCAGGAGGATTGCTGTGAGTTTGAGGCCATCCTGTGTCAAAAAATCAAAAACAAAACAAAATAAAAAAACTTTGTGAAACCTCATGAATACAATTATATAACAATAGAGAGAAACCAGTTGTTTAATTGCAGTCACGTTTATTTGCAGTTTCTATACACACTTTCTAGGTAATCAAACTTTTCTGTTACATTTTTTGAGAGGAGT